GTCCAAACACAGTTTTGCTTATACTTCTGAATTTCTGAAACCCATTTTTAGCATATTTCTCATGGAAAGTGGGCTTTGAATTCATCCTAGTTATTTATATATGCATATTTTCTCCATATTAGATGAAGATCCATGCTAGATAGAGTCCATGTCAGATCATCATGGCACACAAAACCCAGCACAGTGTTTTTCCGAAGGAACTGAGTTAGAGATTGTTTAAATAAACAGCCTTCCTCCCTGTTTCAAACATTGCGTGATGATTTGGATGGAGCGGTAAAGGTTTATATAATTGTGTTCCTGAATACAAGTTCCTGATCCTGATGGACAGTGAGGCCAAACAAACTGAAACATCAGTTTGGCTCAGAAAGAGATTTATTCCAGGGCCAAGCAAGGAGAATGGGTGGCTTGTACTCAAAAACCTTGAACTCTTTAACAGTTTTCAGGGGGAAGTTTTTATAGGCACTATTTGGGGTGAGGGCTGCAGGATGTGTGGCTTTCCTCTGATTGATTGGTGGTGAGGTACCAGGGTGGTGCTCCAGGATCGTGTGCTCAGCCGGAAGTTAGTAGTGTCCTTCTGCGTGGGGCCCTTAGTTCCTGCACAAGAACTGGAAGATATTGTTATGTTTATCCTTTGAGGAGGAACCAGGATCCTGTCTTCATTGCTGCATTATAGTTTCTTGATTGTTTGTCCTTTGTTTCTGCATTTCCTTTCTTCCCTGATTAGCAGCTGCCTCAATCTGCTCTTTGGTATTCAAGAAAGTCCAGGAGGCTTAAGTCTTTTCCCAAAAATAAGAAACAGGGGAACTCAGAAAAACTTTGTATCTGGGAGGGCCCACAGGGTCCTTCTTGGTTTCAATTTTAGAATATTGTTTTCAATAAGTAGTTTTTAGGACTGGTGAAGGGGAAGATTTGGCCTTTCCCCCTTGCAGGTAGTCAGCCTGCATGCCCTCAGTTATGGACTAGGGCACATCAGTGTAACCTGGGAGTTTGATAGAAATGCAATGTTTTGGACCCCCTCCCAGACATATTGAATCAGAATCTGCATTTAACAACATCAGGAGATTTGTATGCATACTAATGATTGAGAAAAGCCAAATGAATCTTTTTCTAAAATTCACCCTGCTGCAAAAGCAGCTGACTATAATATATTCTTCAATGTTTGGAATTCTGATTTGTTTGATGGCTTAATGTGTATTGACTGCACCTGGCGTGCTAGATGATGCAAAGAAATTTCAGACCACGCAGCCATTGTTCTAGACTTGTCTTACTCTAAAATCAGAAGATAAAAACAATATACTATTTTTTATTTGTGCTTCAAACATATGTACACATTAAAGTATATATTCATAAAGATTGAAATAAGAGAAAGAGTGGGTAGGGGACAATCAGATTAGAATCCCATTCTGCGAGATGTGGTCCATGGTTAAAATAAGAGCAGGTGAAGATGTTCATATACACACAGAGAGATAAAAGGAATTTCATCAACATCCAGATCTCTGGTCTAGGGAAAGGAAATGACTGAATGGCTGAATTTTGTGAAGACAAGGTATCAGGATAATTGCTTGCATTTTCCTCTCCTCCTCCAGATGTTTTAGTATTGTGTTGACACAGCCCAAGCCTATTACTCTCAAACATTTTATGAATTTTTAGTAGAAAAAGTTCTGAAAGCATTGATTTCATGTCTACATTCTATTCTTCATGAAAATTACAGTCTTTTAAATGTAATATTTGGTCAAGTTCTTTATTCTTTTGTTAAATTACCATTTTGTATAGTGAATGTAGAAGACTTCTCAGTCACTGTCATTATGATACAATGACATTGAGATCATGCCAACTCAGATTAGGACTAGAACCCATGTAGCTGGGACTCAAACTTGGCCAAAATTCATGGTCTTCTAGGTAAGATCACCTACCTGGTTTCAAAACTTAATGAAGCTCAGGTTCTTGAAGTATTATCCCAGCAAATAATTCAGTGATAGACAAAGTGATAGGTAAGAAGTGGATTTATTTATAGAGAAACATACTTCACAGACCGAATATGGGCTATCTCAGAAGGCGACAGGGACCTCAAAATGTAACGTAGTTAGCTTTAAAGGCTGGGTAACTTCATAAACTAATGTGTGGGAGGATTAGTCCAACGATTTTAGGGGAGGGGCAGAGATTTCTGGGAACTGGCCTGTCATCCACAGTTCGGTCATTGATAATCAACCTTGCAATTGTCTTGGTGCCTGTGGGTGTGCCACTTAGCTTGCCAGTGTGTCACTGTGAGTGTAGACCGAGGCTCCATGTCTAGTGGAAGCCGACTTGTCTGCCGTCTTGGACCCATTTGGTTCTAATGTTTGTCCTCAAGCTATGTCATTTTTTTCAAAGGTTGTGCACCACTCCCTTCCTTCCTGTTTCAAAATGAAATTAAGAATTGTGAAGGGGTCTAGAATCTGTTACTCCCAAATGTGCCACTTTGGCAAAATAACTTTTTTGAGTTGAAGGCAGATGAACTGAAGGCAGTTGAGAACAGATGCAGGAAGAGTTTTTTACCTTCCCCTAATCTGCTTAAAACAGATGTTTCCAAACATGTTCCCAAACTCAGGTTCAACTGCTTGTTGCTCAGAAGCCAATACTTGAGAGACGATTGTTGATTGGAAAGGGAAGGTTGCTTTATTCCGGAGGCTGGCAACTTGGGGAGAAGCTGAACTTACGTGCAAAAACCAATTCCTAAGATTCTGAGAAAAGAAGAGAAGCTAAAGACAAAGGAGAAAAGGAGAGATATACCCATTTGAATGCAGAGTTCCAAAGAATAGCAAGGAGAGATATGAAAGCCTTCATCAGTGATGAGTGCCAAGAAGTAGAGGACAACAACAGAATGGAAAAGACTAGAGATCTCTTCAGGAAAACTAGAGACACCACGGGAGCATTTCATGCAAAGATGGGTACAATAAAGGACAATAATGGTATGGACCTAACAGAACCAGAAGATATTCAGAAGAGATGGCAAGATTACATAGAAGAACTATACAAAAAAGATCTTAATGACCTAAATAATCATGGTGGTGTGATCACTCACCTAGAGCCAGACATCCTGGGGTGTGAAGTCAAGTGGGCCTTAGGAAGCACCACTACAAACAAAGCTAGTGGAGGTGATGGAATTCCAGTTGAGCTCTTTCAAATCCTAAAAGATGGTGCTGTTAAGTTGCTGCACTCAATATGCCAGCAAATTTGGCAAACTCAGCAGTGGCCACAGGACTGGAAAAGGTCAGTTTTCATTCCAATCCCAAAGAAAGGCAATGCCAAAAAATGTTCAGACTACCCCAGAGTTGTACTCATCTTGCACGCTAGCAAAGTAATGCACAAAATTCTCCAAGCCAGGCTTCAACAATAACAGGAACTGTGAACTTCCACATGTTCAAGCTGGATTTAGAAAAGGCAGAGGAACCAGAGATCAAATGGCCAACATCTGTTGGATCCTTCAAAAAGCAAGAGAGTTTCAGAAAAACATCTCCTCCTGCATTATTGACTCCGTCAAAGCCTTTGACTGTGTGGATCATAACAAACTATGGAAAATTCCTAAAGAGATGGGCATACCAGACCTCCTGACCTGCCTCCTGAGAACTCTGTGTGCAGGTCAAGAAGCAGCAGTTAGAACTGGACATGGAACAACAGACTGGTTTCAAAATGGGAAAGGAGTATGTCAAGGCAACATATTCAAAAGCAGAGACGTTACTTTGCCGACAAAGGTTCATCTAGTCAAAGCTATGATTTTTTCAGTGGTCATGTATGGATGTGAGAGTTGGACTATAAAGAAAATTGAGTGTGAAGAATTGATGATTTTGTACTGTGGTATTGGAGAAGACTCTTGAGAGTCCCTTGGATTGTGAGGAGATCCAACCAGTCCATTCTAAAGGAGATCAGTCCTGAATATTCATTGCAAGGACTGATGTTGAAGCTGAAACTCCAATCCTTTAGCCACCTGATGCGAAGACTGACTCATTGGAAAAGTCTCTGATGCTGGAAAATATTGAAGGCAGAAGGAGAAGGGGGTGACAGAGGATGAGATGGTGGGATGGCATCACCTACTCAAAGCACATGAGTTTGAGCAAACTCTGGGAGTTGGTGATGGACAGGGAGACCTGGCCTACTGCAATTCATGGAGTCACAAATTCGGACATGACTGAGCAACTGAACTGAACTAAACTGATGATTCTGCTCAGGGTTTCCTGGTGGCTCAGTTGTGAAGAATCTTCCAGCTATGCAGGAGCACGGGTTCCATCCCTGGGTTGGGAAGATCCCCTGTTGGAGGTCACGACAACCCACTCCAGCATTTTTGCCTGGAAAAATCCCATGGACAGAGGAGCCTGGTGGTCTGCAGTCCATGGGTCACATAGAATCGGACTTGGCTGAAGTGACTGAGCTCAAGATTATGACAGTTTTTAAAAGGAGAATCATTTGGGGAGGGGGTTAGAGTCTTTGTTATTATCTTCTACTGTATGCAGAACTTCTCATTGACTGGTGGTAAGATCAGAGTGTTACTTCAGGATATTGTCCTCAGCCCGAAGTTACCATTCTCCTCCTGGGTGGGAGTCTTAGTTCATGTACAAGATCACAGAGATAGTGTTATGTATATTCCTTGAGGAGAAACCAGGGCCCCGATTTACCTCTGCAGTATTGTTTCTTGACAGCTCCTTCTTTGTTTCTATATCCCCTCTCTTGCCTGAATTGCAACTGTTTAAATCTGCCCTTTGGAACACAGGGAAGGTCATGGAGGCTGAATGAACCCTAATTCTTACAAGGAAGAATTGGAAGACATAGAAAGGATTTGTATCCAGGAGTGCCCCACAGGTGTAACAGGGAAGAGTCTATTTTTGACTTCATGTTGGGTCTGTTTCTTTGACCATAATCCTCATTTTTTGGTTGCTTTTGTTATTATAATCATATATAATATTCTACCTTGAAGGACCCTGCCTCTCTGCTTGACCTAAAACTAAAGTGCTTTGTTTAACTCACAGGGAGAGACTCTGACCCTGCCCTCCTGTGAGAGACTCTAAGAAAGAAGCAAGGATGCCGCCCTCTCCCGGCTGGCCCCGAGGAGCCGTTTGGAGACGGGAGGCCCTCTGACTGTGCTCGCTCACCTCTCCCTCTCTTCATTTTACGCCCCCGCTGCCTCTCCCTCTCTGTCCTGCCTTTTGACCGTAGTCCCTTATTGCCTCTCACTCTGGCTCTATAACAGAACCTAGCATCCAAAGATGGTTACTTTGAGATATTAGTCTGCTATCTTCTCGGTCGGCTGGCTTCCCAAATAAAGTCATATTCTTTGCCTCAACACCTCATCTCTCAGATTCACTGGCCTGCCATTGTGGTAAGCAGACTGTGCTTGGATTTGGTAACCCAGGGTCCTATTCAGTTTTAGGCATAACTTTTTCTTTGTGAGGGTTTGCATTGAGATGAATTGCATTAACAAAATTATTAAAATAACCCTTCTCTTCCATTAGCTTTCCCTGTATATTCCCTAGTAACTTTTCTGTAGTTTTCCTCAAAGAATAACTGCTTTTCCTTTATTAAAATGGTATATAAACATTTGAGTCTAACTGCTTGAATTCCATTTGTTTTTCTTTGAACACCAGTGGATGTAGAATATTAATACATCTTTTTTTTTTAATGTTAATGTGTCTTTGGTCAGTTAAATGCCTCCAGTCACTGAATCTGAGAGGTAGAAGAAAACTTCTTCCTCCCTAAAAATTTTAACTCTACTAAAACTTAAAAAAAAATTCATAAATCATTTTAAAAGAAGAAAGGAAGAAATGAAGAAAGAAGGATAAGAAGGTAAGATATGAAGTGTGTGGACAGTCTGAAACATCAGTAGAAATGGAATGAGAGTTTTTAGGAATTAGCTATTTAATCATCTATTTCATCTAATCATTATTCAAGCTGTCAGTGACTGCAGGCACACTGTATGGAGAGATTATTATTGTCACACCCTAAGCCTGCAGTGAGGTCAGCTGTTGGATCAATAACAACTCTGCTCCATCAGATAGCGAATCTAAATGAGAATTGCCACTGTTAATCAGGTATCTTAAAATCCTTGAACAGGGCACTGTGATAAATGATTGCTGACTATTCTTCTCCTTTTAACCTTAGTGGACTTTACTCACTCATATTTTTAATTAACTAATTTAGATCAGGACATTTAAAATGCTCCAATCCTTTCAAAATTCTCCCTGGGGAGGTTATTCCTGGAGTAGAGAGGAGGAAGAATGTCCTTCCTTTCTTTGTGGTTATATATTTGGCACATTTAATTTTTTTTTCTCAGAGGCACACATTTTCAAGGAAGACTTTGGTTTCACATTTCACTTAGCATTTAGTTCCTTAGCTTACAGAATGGTAGACTTTTAAAATTCAGCAATAATGTACAGAGTTCTTTACAGGGTATTAAAAGTTAAAGCTATGGAGAATTACAACCTTCGGTTCAAAAGAGATACCTTTTGCTTTTTTGAGAGCTAATTATTAATGAAAAAATCTTTTAGAAAGAAAATATTGGTGAAGCTGAGGTTATGGAGAAGTTTTAACAATTAAAAGATATTTTGTACATTAAAAAAGGCTAAGATGGTGGCTATTGTAAATATTATTTAGTTTTACCTTTTTGTGATATTTGTCCTTTAACATGATGTGCTAAGGTCTGAAATTTTCACACTTAAGAGTGCATCTTCTCTCCAGCAGTGAGAAAGGCCCATGATATTATCTCTACTAAATAGTAATAATTTTGTAATTCTAGGGTTAATATATTTTTTAAGTTTTTATTTAAGTATAGTTGATGTACAATGTTGTGTCTAATTTCTGCTATACAGTAAAGTGATTCAGTTATACATACACACACACACACATATATTCTTTTTCATATTCCTTTCCATTAGGTTTATCACAGGATATTGAATATAGTTCCCTGTGCTACACAGTAGGACCTTGTTGTTTATCCAGCTTTTATATAATAGTTTGTATCTGCTAATCCCAAACTCTGATACTTCCCTCCCCCACTTGGCAACTAACGTTGATTAGTTAACAGAGAAAAGCCATATACCTGCATTTTTGCTCTTCAGTTCATCTCTCTTATATCCAGAAACTGATGAAGACAGGACAATCAAAAACTGATACTTTCTTTGGTCTTTCTGATTTGACTGGTAAGTTAGCAAATGAAGTTAAAACACTATGTGTGCATCTTGAGGTATGTAGAGATAAAACGAGTTCTCCTAGCATCTCATTGAAGATTTTCTGAGTAGTGAGTCCAACTTTCTATCTCCAGAATTCTTCCTGTCTATTCAGATGAGCTCTGTATAACATGAAAAAAACATTCATCTCCTATGGTTATCTAAATGTTAGATATCTTGTTATCATTTATGGCATTTATGAAGCAGCATTTCCAGTTACTTGTCGCTGAAGAACAACACACCCTAAAATGTAGTCGTGTAAAATAACAGCTGTGGGTCAGGAATTCAGGATACCATAGGGGTGGTTTGTCTCTCTTGAACTAAGTCTGGCATCTTATACAGGAAGGCTCAGATGGTTGAACAGTGGCTCAGAAGAACCGGGGCTGGACTTACTTGCTGACTTCTGTACTCATACGTCTTATTTGTGGGCTAGGATGATACAGAGTCTGAACTCGGCTGGAGCTGTTGACAAGTGCACGTGCACACGGCCTCTACGTGTGTGCTGTGCTTCTCACGGCTGACTCTGCGCGGGAGCATCCCGAGAGGAAGCATCAGGAGGGAATTCTAAGAGACCCAGGTAGAACCACATGGCCTTTTGTGAACCAGCCTCAGAAATCACAGAATGTCATTTCTGCTCTGTTGATCAAAGCAGTCACAGGCCTGCTCTTATTCACGGCGAGGTGATATAGATCTCACCTCTTGAGAAGAGCAGTATCAAAGAATTTGTGATCTTTTTTAAAATCGCTGCAGCATCCAATTCATAGTATTTTTTATTCTCTAAGAGATTTTTCCTTACTAATTACTTTTAAAAGCAGCAGAAGATATCTGGCACTTTATCAGCAGAAACCAGAGGTAAGTCCAATGTTCTATGATAAAGCCAAGTGCAGAAACCTTATCAATGAATTCCTTTGCCTCTCCCAATATTACTTAGTTCCTCATTCTGTACACAGTAGGTTCTAGAAAAACGTTTGGCTTTGATGTACAAAATGAAGTGGGGCAAAGGCTAACAAGAGTTTTGCCAAGAGAATACACTGGTCATAACAAACACCCTCTTACAACAATAAAAAGGGACAACACTACCCGTGGACATCACCGGATGGTCAGCACTGAAATCAGACTGATTATATTCTTTGCAGCTGAAGGTAGAAAAGTGCTGTACAGTCAGCAAAGACAAGACTCAGAGCTGACTGTGACTCAGATCATGAGCTTCTTATTGCAAAATACAGACTTCAATTAAGAAAGTAGGGAAAACCACTAGACTGTTCAGGTGTGACCTAAATCAAATCCCTTACAATTATATAGTGGAAGTGACAAATAGATTCAAGGGACTCGATCTGATAGAGTTCAGGAAGAACTATGGATGGAGTTTCGTGACATTGCACAGGAGACGGTGATCTAAACCATCCCCAAGAAGAAGAAATGCAAGAAGACAAAATGGGTGTCTGAGGAGGCATTACAAATAGATGAGAAAATAAGAGAAGCAAAAGACAAAGGAGAAAAGGAAAAAGATATCCATCTGAGCACAAAGTTCCAAAGAACAGCAAGGAGAGATAAGAAAGCCTTCCTCAGTGATCAATGCAAAGAAATAAAGGAAAACAATAGAATGGGAAAGACTAAAGTTCTCTTTAAGAAAGTTAGAGATACCAAGAACATTTCATGCAAAGATGGGCACAATAAAGGACAGAAATGGTATGAACCTAACAGAAGCAGAAGATATTAAGAAGAGGTGGCAAGAATACACAGAAGAACTATACAAAAAAGATCTTCATGACCCAGATAACCACGATGGTGTGATCACTCACCTAGAGCCAGACATCCTGGAATGTGAAGTCAAGTGGGCCTTAGGAAGCATCACTATGAACAAAGCTAGTGGAGGTGATGGAATTCCAGTTGAGCTATTTCAAATCCTAAAAGATGATGCTGTGAAAGTGCTGCACTCAATATGCCAGCAAATTTGGAAAACTCAGCAGTGGCCACAGGACTGGAAAAGGTCAGTTTTCATTCCAATCCCAAAGAAAGGCAATGCCAAAGAATGCTCAAACTACCACACAATTGCACTCATCTCACACGCTAGTAAAGTAATGCTCAAAATTCTCCAAGCCAGGCTTCAGCAATACGTGAACCGTGAACTTCCAGATGTTCAAGCTGGTTTTAGAAAAGGCAGAGGAACCAGAGATCAAATTGCCAACATCCGCTGGATCATCGAAAAAGCAAGAGAGTTCCAGAAAAACATCTATTTCTGCTTTATTGACTATGCCAAAGCCTTTGACTGTGTGGATCACAATAAACTGTGGAAAATTCTGAAAGAGATGGGAATACCAGACCACCTGACCTGCCTCTTGAGAAACCTGTATGCAGGTCAGGAAGCAACAGTTAGAACTGGACATGGAACAACAGACTGGTTCCAAATAGGAAAAGGAGTACGTCAAGGCTGTATATTGTCACCCTGCTTATTTAACTTATATGCAGAGTACATCATGAGAAATGCTGGACTGAATAAAGCACAAGCTGGAATCAAGATTGCTGGGAGAAATATCAGTAACCTCAGATATGCAGACAACACCACCCTTATGGCAGAAAGTGAAGAATTAAAGAGCCTCTTGGTGAAAGTGAAAGAAGAGAGTGAAAAAGCTGGTTTAAAACTCAACATTCAAAAAAAATCATGGCATCCAGTTCCATCACTTCATGGCAAATAGATGGGGAAACAGCAACAGACTATTTTCTTGGACTCCAAAATCACTGCAGATGATGAATGTAGCCACGGGAATGAAAATATGCTTGCTCCTTGGAAGAAAAGCTATGACAGACCTAGACTAGTGTATTAAAAAGCAGAGAGATTACTTTGCCAACAAAGATCTGTCTAGTCAAAGCTATGGTTTTTCCAGTAGTCACGTATGTTTGTGAGAGTTAGGCCATAAAGAAGGCTGAGTGCAAAAGAATTGATGCTTTTTAACTGCGGTGCTGGAGGAAGCTCTTGAGAGTCTCTTGGACAGCCAGGAGATCCAACCAGTCAATCTTAAAGGAAATCAGTCCTGAATATTCATTGGAACAACTGATGGTGACGCTGAAGCTCTAATGCTTTGGCCACCTGATGTGAAGAGCTGACTCTTTAGAAAAGACC